TGTGTGTGTGGTGTTCAGGGACGCCCAGGCTGCTATATTCCTGGCACTAAAGCAATGGCCACACTTGCGGGGATGGCATGGCTACCTGGTCCTGTGGATGGGCCCAAGCAGGCCTTCCTGGTGCTGAAGCAATGGTGGCACCTGCAGGTGAGGGCCTATCCTATTTAAATATCTTTGAAAGTAGCATTTTTTCATAATAATGTAATTATAAAAATTAAAAATAAGATATTTGACCTATGTAAATGTCTTTGAAAGCAGCAGTTATCATACTAAAGTGATTATAAAAATTTAAAAGATATTTGACACAAAATAAAATGCTATAGAGTATCACCAATTCTCTGCAGTATGCCAGAATTTTGGAACAGAGGGACTAGGATGGTGCCTTTCCCTTTCACTAATTTTAATTCTAAAACTTTTATGTTCTTTGGCAGTAAATGTTATTTATTTTGTTTTTCAGATTGTTGAACCAGATTTGTAACAAAATACAATTCTATAACATATCCTTAATTTTTGTCTTACTGAAAATTAAGTCCAGCATTAAAATATAATAAGCAAAAGAAGACTACCAAGTGAAGGACTGAATATATTGCTTAGTGTTCTCTGGCTTCAATTCCCACTACTTTAAAAACAAGGAAAAGAAAAAAAATCCCTGAGGCATTAAAACAATGAAAAGATATAAACTGGAGTAAAAAAATGTTTATTCTTGTGTTTATCAGTGTCCTGAAGAGTCAAAACAAAAAGACATCTGAAGCAAAGAATGGGGGGGGCAGAGAGGCACACTCATGGACACATACACACGCACACATACACAGAGGAGAGGAATGACTGAATCGTTTTATTGCAGTTTCAGTTTTACAGGAAATTGAGCAGAAATTAGCTATTTCTTATAAATCTTTTATGAATTCCAAGCTCCAGAGCAGTTTCCCTATCTGTACTTTCCATTAATGCAGTATATTTGTTAAAAGAGACAGTATTATTACATTATGATCAATTGAAATCTGTCATTTGACTTGGTTTGCACTCTGTGTACTCATCCTGCTGTTTTTTTTTTCAATAAGTTGGTCCAACTTTATTGTAATCTGCTACAAAAGACATAAAAAATAGTATCTTTGGTTTTAAGGCATTTAGAAATCTGAGTTATGTCTCACTACAGAAGAACATAAATTAGTTCAAGTCACAAATGCTTGTAAATGATTTTTTCTTACTTCACAACTATTAACAGTGCTTTAAAAATTTTCTAACAACCAGTTTGGAATTGAATAAGAAAACCCACATTTAGTCTAATATTAAAGATGTACATCCACTATTTCCTCCACTCAGTCTCTTGGAAACTGCTGATCTTTTATATTTTTTTTCCTTTTCATTTTTTTCTGGCCTTGAGGGATTCACATGGAGCCTTCCAACTGAGATACATGAGCAGATCTTTATAAAAACTGTTTTGTTTTTTTTTCAGGAAAGATCTAAGTTGCCCAGGCTCCGTCTAAACTTTCAGTACAGCTTTAAATTTTTACAAAAAGCAATAAATTTACAATCAATAATATATTTCTTCCTCAAACTAGCTTTTTTTTTTTTTTGACAGGGTCTCACTATGTAGTTGAGACTGACCTGAAACTCGCTATGTAGTCTTGAACTTACAGCGATCCTCCTGCCTCATACAAATTAGCTTTCTCATTGAGCAATGATTTTAAGTTTTCTTAGGTTTGCTAGCTTATTTTTAAAAAGTCATTATTGTATGGATATACTGCAATTCATTCATTCAATTGCCTGTTAACTCTTGATTCCAACTCTTGGTCTTGGTAATAATGAAAAAGACTGCTTCAGACAAAAATTTTTTTTTTATAGAAATCAGTTTTCAACTTTGACAAATATCAGTGTTTGGTTGGTTCACTCTATGGTAATACTACACTTGATTTTATTAAACTTACTACACTGTCATCAGAAGTGGCTGCCCCCTTTATAACCCCAACAGTGATGAAAGAGTTCCTATTGTTTCACATCCTCATGTTTGGTGCTGTAAAACCTTTGAATTTAAAGTTAGTAAGAACTGCTTGTGTTAATCTTAAATCAACTTGGATGGAAGTAATTTGCTCATTTATTTAGAAAAATTTCCTTATTCCAAAAAGGAAGGTCAAAAATATAAATGTCACTATTGTCTGTGTGTGTTATTATTTTAAATATAAATATAGCATTAGTTATGTTTCTTTTTCTTGGGAGAATTTTATCTCTGAGAGTGTCTCCTGAGTTTTATGGTCTTTGGAGAATATTTTACTTTTTCATCTCCTTGGCAGTCAAAAAAGTATAAAGGGAAGGGGCTACTTAGGATATTGAAAGGTTTCTTCCTTAATGAACTCATTTAGTCTCATTAAATCTTAGATGTACAATAACCTTGAAATCATCAGCCCTATTCCTTTCTTAGAAAAGAAAAGATGAAGTGATTTTTCCACAGCTATGCAGTGATTTTGTGAGACAGGAGAATGAAAAGTAGATTTTAAAGATTGCAGAGGAACTTTATTTCTTCTTAATTTCTAATTTTTTCAATTGGATTATTGAATACTAATAAATCACACTCTCAAAAAGATCAGCAAGGTACTGAGTGGGTCATATTTTTCACGAAGCTAATTATGTAATTTTATCTCATATTATGAGAGAAAAAGTAAATTGAACAGGAGCAACAATACTCTTACCCATTACAGCACTCAGGTAAGTACACAATATTTTCCTAAAGCATTTACTATAAATTATTATTTATAAGGGAAAATTGCAAATTCATATTTTCCAAAGTAGTTGGATCAAATACCTAAATATTAATTAATCTGATGCAAATGAAATTGAAAAAGAAATGTGTTATGTTGCCTATCATGTGCAATGGAAAGAAAGCTATCTTTTACCCACCTCCTTATTTTACAGCTGTCCTAAGACACCCTCAAAATATATCCCAACTTTTTTCCTAGAAATACAACTGTACAGTGAAATACTCATTCATTTGAATCACAGAATTTTAGGATGAGTTGAATGCTTCTTAAATTAGAATATGGAGGCTGCTACACTCCTCTGACTTTGAACCTTGACTCTAAAATATGCATTTTCACACAGTTCTTGATTGTTCTATAATAAATGACAACAGTGCACACAAATGCCTTGAAATTACTTTCCTCTTAGTGAAACCCTGAAGTAAGCAGCATTCACATTTCTAGCACTCTAAGGTAAAGTTCCTCTTTCCATTTGTTTGAAACACCACTATCATGTCTCAAAGTTCAAAAATGATTATGAACCTGTTCTGATAGTTTCCAATTATTCTTAAAATTATACAGTATTGTTCTTTTTCTGTATACATTCCAATGGTCTATGAGAAAAATTCAATATTGACATAAAATATATTTCCTCAGCTTATTACTGACAATCATTTAACAGTTTCAGTTGATGATCAGGTTTTCTTTCCTTCTTTCCCACCAGTAAAAAGAGAATTACCCATCACAGTAACATAGCTTTCTTACTCTTCAATTATTTCTTTCCTTAGCTTCACACTCTCATTCCTGAAGGGAATGACCCAATACAACTATTCTACAATGACTGAATTTGTCCTCGAGGGATTAACAGCTCTACCAGAACTTCGGCTGCCATTATTCTTCTTGTTTCTAGTCGTCTATGGAGTCACAATAGTGGGGAACCTGGGTATGATCCTCATAATCACTTTCAGTTCTAGCCTCCAATCTCCCATGTCCTTTTTTCTGAGTAATTTGTCATTCTTAGATCTATTTTATTCTTCAGTCATTACTCCAAAACTGCTGCAAAACTTCATGTGGGAGCAAAATATTATCACCTATTCTGGATGCATGACACAGCTTTTTTTCTTTTGTACTTTGCTATTGCAGAGTGCTGTATGCTGACTGCTATGGCCTATGATAGATATGTTGCTATCTGTAAACCACTGCTGTACAATGTCACCATGTCCCAAAAGGTATGCATTGTACTAGTGGCAGGGGTCTATGTCACAGCAACATCTGGAGCTGTGGCCCATACTGCCTCTATGATCAAGCTTTCCTTCTGTATGGACAATGTCATCCATCATTATTTTTGTGACATACTTCCTCTCCTAGAGCTGTCCTGCTCCAATACCTACCTCAATAAGCTCCTGCTGAAATATGTGGGTGGATTCAGTATGGTGGCAACAACCGTGCCCATCACCATCTCTTATGCTTTCATACTCACCACCATTCTTCAAATACCCTCGTCTGAGGGCAGGTCCAAAACATTTAGTACATGTGGATCTCACCTTATGGCTGTTGGGATCTTCTATGGTTCTACAATATTCACATATTTTAAGCCAGCATCTAGCAACAATATGGCCCAGGAGAAAGTAGCTTCTGTGTTCTATACCACAATAATTCCCATGTTGAATCCCTTGATCTACAGTTTGAGGAATAAGGATGTAAAGAAGGTATTGAGCAAAGTCATGAAAAAAAGGTATGGTTCACCCTACAGTTAGTGTCAGAATGACTAAAGTTCATGAAGATACTTTGTCCCTTTCTTTTCTAAACAAACTACCTTCTATTTGTTTTTTGAAGTAACAGCGTGGTCTCATTCTATCTACAAGTACTAGGTGTTACTTCTTTATTGATGCTTGTGCAAACACACATACACAAACACACAAGCACACACACACACGCACACACACATCCCTTGAGTAAGCTGTCACAAGACATTGATTCCCTAAATCCTTGACAAGTCTTTGAGATTTTTTTAAAGTTTACAGGAATTAAACTTTTGTGGTTCTCCTGTCTTACTGAGGAAGACTAAGGTAGATATTTTATTCTATTTATTTCATTAGCTATAAATAGCTAATAAACACTCAGAAGAAGTCATACCAGGCTAGGTTGTGGTAGAAAATAATCTTGAAACTTGATCATGGGATAAGTCCAAAGAATAAGTCTATTAGAATATAGCTTTCTTACTCTTCAATTATTTCTTTTCTTAGCTTCACACTCTCTTTCCTGAAGGGAATGACCCAATACAACTATTCTACAATGACTGAATTTGTCCTCGAGGGATTAACAGCTCAACCAGAACTTCGGCTGCCATTATTCTTCTTATTTCTAGTCATCTATGGAGTCACAATAGTGGGGAACCTGGGTATGATCCTCTTAATCACTTTCAGTTCTAGCCTCCAATCTCCCATGTACTTTTTTCTGAGTAATTTGTCATTCTTAGATCTATTTTATTCTTCAGTCATTACTCCCAAACTGCTGCAAAACTTCATGTGGGAGCAAAATATTATCTCCTATTCTGGATGCATGACACAGCTTTTTTTCTTTTGTACTTTTGCTATTGCAGAGTGCTGTATGCTGACTGCTATGGCCTATGATAGATATGTTGCTATCTGTAAACCACTGCTGTACAGTGTCACCATGTCCCAAAAGGTATGCATTGTATTAGTGGCAGGGGTCTATGTCACAGCAGCATCTGGAGCTGTGGCCCATACTGCCTCTATGAGCAAGCTTTCCTTCTGTATGGACAATGTCATCCATCATTATTTTTGTGACATACTTCCTCTCTTAGAGCTGTCCTGCTCCAATACCTACCTCAATAAGCTCCTGTTGAAATATGTGGGTGGATTCAGTATGGTGGCAACAACCGTGCCCATCACCATCTCTTATGCTTTCATACTCACCACCATTCTTCAAATACCCTCATCTGAGGGCAGGTCCAAAACATTTAGTACATGTGGATCTCATCTTATGGCTGTTGGGATCTTCTATGGTTCTACAATATTCACATATTTTAAGCCAGCATCAAGCAACAATATGGCCCAGGAGAAAGTAGCTTCTGTGTTCTATACCACAATAATTCCCATGCTGAATCCCTTGATCTACAGTTTGAGGAATAAGGATGTAAAGAAGGTATTGAGCAAAGTCATGAAAAAAAGGTATGGTTCACCCTACAGTTAGTGTCAGAATGACTAAAGTTCATGAAGATACTTTGTCCCTTTCTTTTCTAAACAAACTACCTTCTATTTGTTTTTTGAAGTAACAGCGTGGTCTCATTCTATCTACAAGTACTAGGTGTTACTTCTTTATTGATGCTTGTGCAAACACACATACACAAACACACAAGCACACACACACACGCACACACACATCCCTTGAGTAAGCTGTCACAAGACATTGATTCCCTAAATCCTTGACAAGTCTTTGAGATTTTTTTAAAGTTTACAGGAATTAAACTTTTGTGGTTCTCCTGTCTTACTGAGGAAGACTAAGGTAGATATTTTATTCTATTTATTTCATTAGCTATAAATAGTTAATAAACACTCAGAAGAAGTCATACCAGGCTAGGTTGTGGTAGAAAATAATCTTGAAACTTGATCATGGGATAAGTCCAAAGAATAAGTCTATTCTTTGCTAATTGAAATCTCCTTCATAGATCCCCCTCCTTTCTTTGCTCTGCTGTGCATCTTTCTTTTGAAAGGTAAAGCTCTTAAATTAATTAATCTTTATGAAATTGTAAAAATAAATCATTAATAGATAAATAATTAGAACATAGGAGAAGAGTGAGGCCATTTTATGGAAGGAAGGTTTATCCTAGGAAAATGCATAGAAACTCATCGTTCCCCTTTGAAAAGCATAGTGTCAGAAGTTGTAAACTTCTCTGTGAAATCTCAGTATACTGAGATCATTGCAAAGTACTGAGTGATGGCTCTCTATTTAATCTAACCCACACAAGGTAAATTCCTTGCTCTTCCTCTTTCAGTCTCTCACTGTCAAGAAGGGAACATCCACCTCTAAAGCCACATGTATCCTGTGGAGAGATCTACAGAGTAGAATCTCTCTGTCCATTCATCCCACTTGGTTCTCTATATTGTGTGTAAAAACAAGAGTGGCTACTTAAAAACTATGTTTGTAGAAAGCACTGAGATGAAGCTTAGATATTATACTTCTCTATTTTTTTCTTATTTGCAAGTAGGATTTTTGAAGCACAGAAGACAGAAAACAAACTTCAAATATATCAAGTGCACAATTGGAAAGTGTTGACATATGTATACACATATGAAATCATCATAGGCAATATAGCATATAGATCCAAAATCAAATGTTCCCTTGTGACCTTTGGTAATACCTTCCTCCTAAGTGCTCACCCTTTCTGGAATATAGTTTTCAATTTTCAAGAAATTTATAATAAGAAGGAAACTATGCAGAGTTTAGTATTTTGTACAGGTTTACTTTACTCAGTATAGTTACTTTCAGTTTTAACATGATATTGCAGTTATCTATAGACAATTAATTTTTATTGTTATAGTACTATTCCATTGTAGGGCTATGAAATAATATATATATATATATATATGTGTGTGTGTGTGTGTGTGTGCATATATTTTTTTTCTGGTGATGGACATTGAATTTTGACCAGTTAGGGATTTTAATGAATTAAAATTCAGCAAATATTTTGGCATGAGTCTTCATGAGGACATAAGCTTATATGCTTTTCTTCTTGGATAACCACATGAAGTGGATACTTATTTATTTAGAAACTGAAAATCTGACTCCTAATATGGCTGCCCCATTTTACAACCTCTTCCATAGTCCATGAGAATGTCAATTCCTCCATTGCCTCAGCAACATTTTATGTGATCTTTCTTTTTCTCAGATTTGCATCTTTCATAAGGTATATATAGTGATATTTTGCTGTGATTTAGTTTGCATTTCCCTGATGATTAATGATGTTGAATATCTTTCTTAGCGCACACACACACACACACACACACACACACAGGTGTACAAACATGTTGTCTGCTGAAATACTTTGTTCCTTTTTAAAGACTTTTCTTTCTTACTATCATTTTGAAAGTTCTTCATATATTCTGGATATCAAGTATCAGATAACTGATTTGTAATATTTTAGCCCTGCAGGTGGATTATTTTCATTTTTTTGAAATGCAAAATCTCCTGATATTTAATGAAGTCCAATTTATCAATATATTTACTATCATGAGTATGCCTTCAGTTTTATATAAAGGTCACAAAAATTTCTTAAATATTTCATTCTAGCAATTTTGGAGATTGATGTTATATATTTAGGTATATGATATATTGTGTACATATTGTAAATTATATATAAACAGTGATTTTTTGCTTTATTTTGGTTTAATTGAGTCTACAGTTCTGTTGAAAAAATACATTTTTCACTGGATTGCCTTTGCACTGTTGTAGAAATGTTTGTCTATAAAGATATGGGAATATTTCTGGACTCTCTGTTCTATTCTGTCTCTTAATTTTGATGTCAATATGACACTGCCTTATTTCACTGATTTATAATAAGTCTTGGAATTGGGTATTGTTAGATTTCTAATTTTTTTCTTTGTTAGTATGATACTTTAGGTCTTTTTTAATAAAAATCTTACAATCACAATATTGACTTATATCCATTTTTTGCTGATTATTGTGTTAAATATAAAAATAATTCTGGAAAGAGTTAACTACAAAAAGATATCTGATTTGCAACATAGGGACATATTATACCTCATCACTGAGTTAGATCACTCAGCAGTGCTTTACTCCTTTGAATTTCATGTAGATTGTATAATTTTGTCAGGTATATCCATAAGTATTTCCTTCTTGATTGATGTGCTAGTAATTTGTCCTCAATTTCAATTTTTTGTTGTTCATTGTTGCTATTTAGAAATACAATTCCTACTTTTACATAAATCCTTTACCCAAACACTTTGCTAATTGAATGAATTATAGTAGCTATTTCATGGATTTATTAGATTTTTCTGCAGACATTTTTACTTCCTCTTTTCCAATTTGACTACCTCCTATGTCACCTCTGAGTTATTGCAATATTGGAAACCTCTAGTAAAGTATTGAGTAGAAGTGCTTAAAGACAGACACTTCTTCATTACTGTTCTTAAGAGGAAATCATTCTGTAGTCACACTTAAGTTTAATGTTAGATTTTCTATATCAGATTGAGGAATTTCTGTTACTATTTCTGTTATTATTTATTAAGGTTCTTTTAAAATCAGAAAATAATGTTATTGGACTGAATAATAATATTTGATTTTCTCATGCTGGAAAATTTGTTTTAAGAAACATTTTAATTGTACTGATTGATTATCAGAAGTTTAAAAATAATTAATTATTGAAGCAAATTCCACTGTGACCTAACCTTTATTAGAGTTTATTCTTGCTTAGAGTAGGGAGGTAGATATAATTTGTTCTCCTTCATAATGAATATTTAAAGTTGTTAGCATTATCTTTTAAGATATCATTTTCTTCTAAGATATCATTATCTTCTCAGCTACTTTAGATGCTATTTATATTTTACACTTAATTTGTATTATTCTTAATCCTATATTGGGCACTGTACTCCATTAAACTTCCTGCCTTTTGCTGCAGTAGTAACACTTTTTTTTTATTTGAGAAATAATGTAATTTTTAATATATGATAGTTGTCATTTTCCCTACAGTTTGCATTTCATCTGTAGATATTCTTACATAGATATTTTTGTGTAAACCTTAATATTAAATAGGCTTACTCCTCTGCTCCAACAAAAGCTCATTACAGTTCACCTTTATCAGTAATTAGAAGCACGTATATGAACAACACAGAAGACATCCACCTGAGGACACTTGAAACTAAACAGTGCTAGCACCATAATGTACTCAAAATGGATTATATGCTTAACTGTATAACCTAAAATTATAAAAATTTTAGAGAACAATGCAGAATAGTTTGGTAACTTTCAACTATGTAAATGTTTTTTGAGAGGAATCCATACGTAATTTAAACATGATAAATTGAGGTCAAAATTAAATACATGTTGTCTTCAAAAGGCCATTGACAGAAAATCATAAATTCAGATAAAATATATGCAGAACTCTTATCTAATAAAGGTATTTCACTTAGAAATGGAATGCCTTGTTACCTTTACAAGGATGTAGTGAACTTCTTTGTCTCTGAATAAGTTTTGGTTTGAAATTTACTTTGTCTGCAAATAAGAAACCTACCCCTGATTTTTTTCCTGTGTTCTTGTCTCATGGAGAACTGTTTTCCATCATTTTACTTTCAGCCTATGAGTTTCTTCCTGAACTAGGCACATTTCTTGTATACAGCATAATTTTGGATTTTGCTTCTTAAACCATATGCCAGTTTGTTTCTTTTGATTGATGAATTGATGTAACATACTACATCAACATAGTCAAAGACAAAAACCATATAATCATCTCAATAGATGCAGAAAAGGCATTTGGCAAAATTTAACACACATTCATGAAAAACCTCTGCAGAGAATGGAATTTATGTCCATTACCTCAACTTGATAAAGGCTATCTATGAAAAACCAACAGTCAACATACTAAATAGTGAAAAAACTGGAAACCTTCACACTTAAAATCAGGAACAAGACAAGGATGTCCACTACCAACATTACTGTTAAATATAATTTTGGAAAATTTATCCACAGCTATTAGAAAAGAGAAAGAACTAAAAGCAATAAAGAAGAAAATGAAAAGTTACATTGTCATTATATGCTGATGATATCACTTCTAGACTTAATTGACAGATTGAGTAGAGTAGCTGCATACAAAGTCAACACTCAAAAATCAATAGCCTTCTTGTACACAAATAACAGATTCACTGAGAGTGAAATTAGGGAAATGATTCCTTGCACAATAGCATCCCAAAAAATGAAATATCTAGGTACTAAAGGGAGCAAAAGACCTCTAAAAACTGTAGCACTCTTTTAAAAGAGATTGAATAGGATATGAGAAAATGGGAAAACATCCCTTGTTCCTGGGTAGGAAGAATCAATATAGTGAAAATGGCCATACTTCCAAAAGTGCTATACAGATTCAGTGCAGTCTCTACTGAAATCCCAACAGTATAGTTCATAGAACTGGAGAAAAAAAATCCAAGAATTCATGTGAAATCAGAAGAGACCTAGAACACCAA